GAAGCACCGCGACTACAACCCACCCTTCTGCTTAGAAAACGTTTTTTGGGGGTGGGGGGAGAGTTTCATTTCTATTTTGCGGTTTTTACGCCTTTTTCTACAACTTATTGTTCACTATGGCAAATTTTAGCTTATTTTCGTCAAAAAAGACCCTCTATCGCCTAAACGGTTAGAGATAGAGCGAAACAGATGAAATTTTCGCCCAAAGGGCTCTACTTTGACGAGTTACCCCTTAGGAGACCATCCAATATTTTCGGAAATTAAGAAATTTATTTTTGGGCCACTTTTGTGAGAGAAACTCCCTCCAGCGCCCAAACGGTGAGAGATAGAGCAAAACGGACGAAATTTTCGCCCAAAGGGCTCTACTTTCACAAGTTACCCCTTAGGAGATGATAAAAAAAATATTTTTTTCCGACTTTTTTGGCCTTTCCTGTTTTCTTCGATAGCCCCTTTCAGCCCCTCTTAGGGGTGGCTGGCAGGATTTGCCGTAGGCGTTTTGTTTTGTGGGAGTGAACCTTGAGATCCCCTGAAAATTTGAAGTCTCTAGCACATCTCCTTCTTGTGGAACAGACAGACAGACAGACACACAGACACACAGACACACAGACAGACAGACACGAGGTCGTTTGCATAAGCCCGCTGGATAGCTTTTTCAAAGCAGAAGGGCGGGCTAAAAACAGTTTTCTACATCGAGAGCTTTCTCGTATAAGAGATGGAAACGGATATAGAACTGGACGGGGTTAGTCGGCCAGCTAAGAGCTATTCGCGCAATCGCGGCGATTTCTCATACCGCGCGAAATTCAAACCGAATCGGCTCACTAACAGGTAACAGACTCGGCGTTACTCCCTCGATAAGTGCACTGACACGGCACGCACCCGTGCCTGTCCACAAGACCAATCGTCTGCACATCTTCCTCTCCGTCTAAACGTGCTGAATCCGAAACCGACCTCAAAAATGTTCTGCGGCCAATATAGCGGCGTCAGGGTGTTGTCAAAGTCTGTCAGGCGGGTTCCTACGGGGAAGAAGCCGGGATGGGGGACGCTGGGGTTCTAGGGCATCATTCTCTCATGGTTTGGCTCTATCCGCTTATGCGCCAGAACCTCTGAGGTTCTAGAGAAAGACATCTACTAGACATATCGTTGATATCTTTTTTCCCTCAATGGTTTGTACATAAAAAGTGTTAACTGCGTGAAATTTGGACGAGGAGCAGTAAATAATTCGTTTGCTAGTTTTGTTGTTGTTGCTTTTTGGTGAAATGATTTGTGGAAAGCAAATGTCTTCCTCTCTCTTAACTACAAGTTGTCATTACTGAATACTCAGATGTCACGCTTGTAATTTTGTTTGATACTTATGCCGATCATTGGCAGTAAAATATTTGATCTCAAGACTCTTTTTAATTGAACTGTAATAAGATATTAGTATGTAGGCACAAAAAGAACACTTTGTCTGTTGTAGGCTTCTGTTAAGTGAACTTTTCCTGAATGTGGATAAACTTGTGTAAAAGCTTCTTAACCTAATGACCGTCTTCTTCGTGTAGAAAGAATGATGTGTTTGGCCACGTACAATGAGCTCTTATTTTGAAATTCAGCTGACAGGTACACGTGCCGAGGTGTCAGTACGCCCGTTTTCATAGATCTGCAGATCTACAGGTTGAAAATCTGGGAAGAGGACAACTTATGAAGTCAGCTTTTTGAAAGTTAGAACTGTTCTCCTTATCAGTGATAAAAATCTGACATACATATTGGGGTCCAAGAAACATATAAAAAGTGAAGTCACATTTATTAAAAGAGTATTATAAGTGTTATTATAGATTTAGTTGGTCATTCCCTAGACCCTTGAATTCTGCCATTATAATCACAGAATACAAAGAAAAAAATCTAACTTCTGCTCATGTAAGATGCAAACTGTTGACTGACAATCAAAATGAATGCAAATCCCTGGCCCTCAGGCTTCATAGTATGTCTCTCCAACTACTTAAAATAATTTCAACATTTTCACTGAAATGAGGATGGCGACTGAAACTTTCGGCCGCCAGGATCGCTAGGAGCACTGGTCCCCTAGCGCGCCGCCGGCTGGGCGGAGCGTGTGTGAGCATAAACTAAAATTGCATTCTTGGGTACTTTCACTCTAACAAAGTACATCGACCATTACATCAAAATAAAGGTGAAAGTGTGAGGATTACAACGGTCTAGTTCCTTATGTGATTGAAAACCTTGTACTCGATCAGGGCCGTTTGGCAAAATGGGCTGTTTTCCGAAATCACAAGAGCTTTTTCAACCCGTATTTTCTCATGCAAGGAGACGAGCTATCAACATACATAAAGCGAGCCGATTTTCCGCCTGACTTTAAACTTTACATTCCTTTTTGCCGCACTTTGATACGACTTCTGGTTTTCGAGAACGAAGCTCATATCTACGCGCATGTCGGGCCGGGCCGCAGCTGTCTGCGGCTGGACGCTATGGCCCGCTATGGCCCGCTATGGGTCGCGCCCGCCCGGGCCGCGCGGCCGGCCCGACATGCGCGCAGATATGAGCTTCGTTCTCGAACACCAGAAGTCGTATCAAAGTGCGGCAAAACGGAATGTAAAGTTTAAAGTCAGGCGGAAAATCGGCTCGCTTTATGTAGGTTGATAGCTCGTCTCCTTGCATGAGAAAATACGGGTTGAAAAAGCTCTTGTGATTTCGGAAAACAGCCCATTTTGCCAAACGGCCCTGATCGAGTACAAGTCCTTCAATCACATAAGGAACTAGACCGTTGTAATCCTCACACTTTCACCTTTATTTTGATGCAATGGTCGATGTACTTTGTTTGAGTTAAGTACCCAAGAATGCAATTTTAGTTTATGCTCACACACGCTCCGCCCGGCCGGCGGCGCGCTAGGGGACCAGTGCTCCTAGCGATCCTGGCGGCCGAAAGTTTCAGTCGCCATCCTCATTCGTTTTGTGATACTTTTACTCATTTTTTTGCGGTAACTGGTGTTTGGCGATTCCCACGCTAATGGGCATGATAACTCCGAAAAATGTGATAAAAGTATCACATTTTTGTGATACAATCATCACAACAAATGTAATAAAATAATTTTCGTGATGATTTTATCACAAAATTGTGATACTTTTATCACATTTTTTGGAGTTATCATGCCCTTTAGCGTGGGAATCGCAAAACACCAGTTATCGCATGGTTTTGTGTTAAAATTATCGCAAAACCAGACTCAGTGTTGAGGTTAAAAACGTCAAAGTTCGAAATTAATACAGCACATCGAAAACAAGGTCTCAATTTTGTCCAAATTAAACTCTTCTGTTAACAGGGAGTGTTGATTTGTCTTGGAAGCCACTAAGATGTTTAAAAAAGAAAGCTGCATTTGTACTCCGCGGAGAGACTTCCCCGGCCAGGCCATTTTGTCCACGGTAATGACGGTCCATGGGGATGACATCCACAGTCTCACACGGTTGTGTCTCCTGTAGGATTGTAGCCCCAAGCGTACAAATTTAATCAACGCTACATGAGCATATATTCTTTGTATTTCACTCCCAATTATCACTCAAACTACTAATCATTCCTAGATGTAAATGCCCACGGAGATGACAAGGTGGGTGGACCCAACCTAACTTCTCCCTGTAGAGCACAGTTTAAATTACTATTTTGGGATAAAATAGTTGTTTTTCACCAGTCATAGCTCACTATATAATAACAACATCCAGTTCATACCTCTTAGACATCACTCTGCACTGAAAAAATGTTTCATAGGTAAAATTTGAATGATTCGAACATATGTTCATGGTAATCACACTGCCCTGAGCTTCACCCAAAATGACACATATTTTATTTTCTATTACCTTTGATTTGCATCTTAAAGACTGGCGGGAAACAGAAAACGGTTCAGTAATGATGTGTTAATGTATTTGTAACATCGTCAGGGCGGTACATCAACTGCAGAAAGTGGATTGTGGACTGCAAATTTGAACACCCAGTAGCAGCTTCAGTGAAATGTCCATGGAGCTCCCTTTCCTAAAGCGAATAATTTGGAATATTTTTGTGATTGGCATCAAACTGCAAAAAAAAAAAAAACTTTCATATAAGGTGCTCAGCGATTGATAACATCGGTATAAAAATATATTGGACCAAAAATCCAGTACTAAATAAATGAAACAAGCTGGCTTCAAATGTTGTCCGCTTCCCAGATTTTCACCCTACACTCCCTGTGTGTCGCCTTGTGCATTTGGCAGGTCAACCTGGCTCTGTGAGTGCGGAAATCCTCGGAAGTAACCGTCTACAATGTAAAGAATTACCCTTCCAAAAACCTGTACGATGTGACCGGGATGGCCAGCCGGCCATATTTCGTTAAAGGTGTGGAGTACCCGGAGGGAGTGCCAGACGCAGATCAAACTATATGCACCTCACTGTTGGCAACTATGGTTTTGCTGCGGATGTAGAGTTCGCTGCAACCAATTGTTGAGTGAGGGGATGAGTTGCACGGCCCAAAAGGTTTTGATTTCAATTGTGTCTCTTCAATAATTTTATTTTTCCTGCACTTTAAAAATATCAAATGTTCGTAAATATTTATTTTTATTTTTTATCATGAAGAGTTTAGATTTGTTATGAGAATTTTTGAGAACTAATTTTCTTTTGCGTAGTCGTAGGCTTTCCAGACAGCGTTTCGATTTGGTGTCGCGCTCCGCGGGTTTAAAATACTCCAATCCACCTCCGCTCAGTTTAATTTGACTGCAACCCGTTGACCAGTAGTTCAGACAGTGTAACGTAACTCTATCCAAAAGAAAGTCGCTGAGATGATTGCTTGCCGTGGTCTAGTTTCCTGTCCGGTTGTATGGTTCCATGTGTTGTTCTGTTTGGATTTCTACTGACAACACCGTTTTATTATTAATCAGGATATGGATTTTGCGTCGCCTCCATGCAAGAAAGTCCGTTCTACGACGGTCGCCCAGAGAATGTCCGATCTACAAGCGTCGTTTAGAAAATGTTCGATCTGCATTAGCCCGGCTGGTGAACATCCGAAGCAACATTTTTGACTGTTTTGAGATATTGGTGCCATTTTATGTAACTTGGCGAGATACGTAAAATGGCATCAATATCTCAAAACAGTCAAAAATGTTGCTTCGGATGTTCTCCAGCCGGGCTAATGCAGAACGAACATTCTCCAAACGACGCTTGTAGATCGGACATTCTCTGAGCGACCGTCGTAGAACGGACTTTCTTGCATGGGGGCGACGTTTGATGCAGTTCGGCGTAGAAGGCTGTAACGATCTCTCGTTGACGATTCAGAAGTCAGTGGTCCAACAAGTGATCACGATCTCACTGTGTTTGAAAGGCCGCAGTATTAAGCAGCTATGGTTCCTTCTTACCAGGGTTGGGAACGTTACTTTTAAAAAGTAACGGATAACGTTGACGTTGATCGGGGCCAAAAGTAACGCGTTTCGTTTACGTTACCGGTTCTGATTAACGTAACGCGTTATCGTTAACCATAACGAGTTAACGGCGTTAACGTTAAATTTATTTCAAGGATCCCCTAGTGCTAGACTAATTATTACCTGAAAATGCCAACTTTTCATCATAATTATCATCAACCCGTTACTCCCTCCCCTAAATTTCTTGTTCACTTCAAGTTATTTCATCTTAAAATTAATTTTTCGGGGCGTAGAACGTGTCTTTTTTCCATTGACACCCTTTGCAGCAGCACTTTTTAGACGAAAAATTAACGATAACGCCGTTGCGTCGTTAAGGACAAAAAGTAACGCGTTTACGATATCGTTACAGGCACCCAAAATTTTATCGAGTTAACGATAACGTTAATTAACGTTAACGAAAACGCTGTAACGTCGTTAATCGTTAAAGTAACGTTCCCAACCCTGGCAGGGTTGGGAACGTTACTTTTAAAAAGTAACGGATAACGTTGACGTTGATCGGGGCCAAAAGTAACGCGTTTCGTTTACGTTACCAGTTCTGATTAACGTAACGCGTTATCGTTAACCACAACGAGTTAACGGCGTCAACGTTAAATTTATTTCAAGGATCCCCTAGTGCTAGACTAATTATTACCTGAAAATGCCAATTTTTCATCATAATCATCATCAACCCGTTACTCCCTCCCCTAAATTTCTTGTTCACTTCAAGTTATTTCATCTTAAAATTAATTTTTCGAGGCGTAGAACGTGTCGTTTTTCCATTGACACCCTTTGCAGCAGCACTTTTTAGACGAAAAATTAACGATAACGCCGTTGCGTCGTTAAGGACAAAAAGTAACGCGTTTACG